GGGCGCCCGGCGGGGTTCAGCCCACTGAACTGCCCGTACTTGCCCTTGCTCTTGTCGGCTGGCTTCAGGATCTGGGGGGCAAGGGGGAGAAACGGGTGCAGGGGGGGAAGAAACAGGTCAGAAAGGGGTGAAGGGGGAGAGAAATGCATGAGGGGAGGGAGAGAAATGGGTGAGGAAGGGGCTTCACACCATCCCGCCCCAGCTCCCCACTCCCCTCCTGCCTCCAGGGCAGAACACCTCGGTGCCCTCCGCTCTCCCTCCAGCCCCTCCAGCAGGAATTGGGGGTGTCCTGCCCCTGGCCCAGCCCACCTGAAAGGAGCACATGAGGGTCTCATCCACGCTCATCATGGCGCCTGCGTTGTCGAACTCGCCACAGTAGTTGGGGGCCGAGAACAGGGTGACGAGCTGGCGCTTGGCAAAGAACTCGTAGCCATCCTCCACCACCTGCACGAGAGGGGCACACAGTGAGCACCCCTGGGGCAGATAACCACCCCCCTGGGCAAATAACCACCCCCCCAGGCAAATAAACCAACCCCCCGGGACCACTGTGCAACTTCAGGGGCAAATACCCACCCCCTCTGTGGCAAATATTCCCCTCCTGAATATCCACTCCCCTGAGGTCAATACCTGCCCACTCAGGGCAAATTCCCACTTCCCTGGAGTAAAATATCCATCCCCAGGGCCAGATATCCAGACTCCCAGGGTGAATACTCACTCCCCTGGGGCAAATTTTGACCCTCACGGGGCAAATGCTCACCCCCCCCAGGGTCAATGTCAGGCAAATCCTCCCCCCTGGGGCCAATATCCACCTCCAGGCAAATGCCCAAATCCTGGGGTAAAATCTCACCCCTCTAGGATGAATACCCAAATCCCAGGGCAAATCCCCCCTGAAATCCTGCCTACACACTCACAACAACCCCCCAAAGTCCAATTACACCTTTGTGTCCTCTGGGGCGGGCGAACACCCCCTCAGGACCCACCCCTGGAGCACACACCGCCCTTGGGGGGCAAATCCTTGGGGTACACACGCCTGCCCTACACCCGACACCCACTGGGCACCCAAAGCCCCACTCCAGGGGCCCTCCCCAATATTTTGGGGGTCCCGGAGGTACCTGGTGTGCCCGGCAGATGAGATCCAGGTCGTGCTTGTGCAGGAACTTGGCCACCACCTCAGCCCCGAAGGTGAAGGAGACGCCGCGGTCGTTCTCCCCCCAGCCCTGCACGTCCTTGTCGGGGTCGGACCAGAGCAGGTCGCAGAGCAGCCCCTGATCCGGGACATCCGTGGGCCGCATGATCCGCCGGATCTGCTCCATCGACTGCAGGTCTGGGGACAGCCCTGCGGGGAAGGGGAGCCCCCAGAGCTCAGCACGGAGATCCCGCCCCTCCACAGCCCCTCCCCAGACCCCTGGGAAAGGGGTTTTTTTCCCACCTCCGTGGCAGCAGAAGATCTTCTCGTCCACGATGGCAGCGATGGGCAAACAGTTGAAGCAGTCGGTGAAGGTCTTCCAGAGCTTGATGTTGTATCGCCGCTTGCCTGGGGGGGACAGTGAGGATTTGGGGGTGTCCTTGGGGGACAACAGGGACTTAAGGGTGTGTGGGGCTCCCAACAGGGGTTTTAGCCCCCCAGGTGATGCACAGGCAGCTGCCCTGAGGTCCATCAGACCTGGCAAAGCTCTGGCTGCACAGGGACAATGGGGATGTGGGGGTGTCCTTGGGGGACAATGGGGACTTGGGGGTGTCCTTGGGGGACAACGGGGA